AAAAAAAAAAAAAAAAAACCAAACTAACAAAGTCTAAGAAAATTAAAAATTAAATCAAAACTGTGTTTTTTTCTTTTTTAATCAACTAAATAGGTTAATATTTGGCTTGTGTTTCGATAACATTGTTAAAAACATAAACAAATTAAATGAATTCATTTGGTTTTAATGATTTTTGTTTTTGGGTTTTAGGAACTTGGCAATTCGATTTCATTAAATATTTTTAGCTTTTTGGTTTTACTGCTTCAAGTATATATAAATTTTTGGCTCAATTTAAATTCAATTCAGGGAGATGGGGCATGCTTGTTTAGTGACGGTTGATTAACTATATTTACTTATCGATTATGCTATTTATCGATTACTAAGGCAAATCTATCGCATTCTAAATATGTTACTTGTTTCGAATTTGATTTGATTGTTTTTCTTTTTGGTATTTGTCGGCATTCACAATTGTTTGCATTTGTATATATATATGTATGTACGTGTGTGTGTGTGTGTATTGTATGTACAGCGATGTGCGTGTGTGTGTGTGTGTATTTGTGTAATGTAAGTAAAAATGGCAAGTGTTTGTATTTGTATTTGTGTGTGTGTGTGTATGTGTGTCTGTGTGCACGCAGCGCCGTTTTGACTAGATTTGATACGTGCAATGGTAACTAGCTTTAAATATTGATGGAAATTGGCGTTTGGCGTGGGCGTGGGCGTGGCAAGTATGTGCGTATGGCTGCTTAAAGTCTACTACTCCAAATGCTCTAATTTAATGGTTTTCGTTGGCAGCTGCAGTTGCAAGGCTGCGCTGCCGCCGACGCCGGCGCCGCCGCTGGCATTGGTCAGACTGGCGCTGTCCACGCAGCGTATGGTGGACGTTTCAGCAGCAGCAGCAGCAGGTACCGTTATGTCGTTTGCTTTTTTGCGTAAAGTTTGCTTACTATTATTACTATTATTGTTAGTATTGTTGTTGTTGCTGCTGCCGGCGCTGCTGCTGTTGTTGTTGTTCAGCTTGCGGCGTTTTTGCGCTGTGCGCCGCGACGCATTTGGTTCGAGGCGCCGCTGCGCAGTCGACGTCGCCGGCGCTGTCAGCACTACGGGCAGCCTCATTTTAATGTTATTATTGCTACTGCTATTACTGCTACTGTTGTTGTTGTTGTTGCTATTATTATTATTATTAGTAAGCATGCTATTGTTATTGTTATTGGCGAGATTAAAGCTAGCGGTAGCATTCAAATTGCTGCTGCCAGCGCCGCTGCCGCTGCCGCTACCCGGACTGGCGGCCCAGTAGAACCGAATGCCAGGCGGCGCTTGCAGCGTCAGCGCCGGCTGTTGCCCGGCAGTGGACGTTGCCGCTGCTGCTGCGACGCCAGCGCCGCTGCCAGTAAGACGCCGGCCTAGCATGGCGCCAGCGTTGATTACTGAGATGCCTAGCAGCGAGGTGGGCGCGGCAGCAGATGGGCTGCCGCTACTACTATTACTGCTGTTGGTTGTGTTGCTGTTGTTGTTGTTGTTGCTGTCGTTGTTTGGTGTGTTGCTGTTATCTACCTGCATGGGGGCCAAGCACACGGTGCCATCGCTATTCGTCTGCAGCTGCTGCATGTTGGCCATCACCGACTGATACATGGAGACGGGCACCGATATGACATTGCTCACTGAGACCGGATATCCTGCGAATGGTTGTCAACATAAAGTAAGTATTCACATGCAGAGAGAGAGAGAGACAGGTGCATCAACTCAAATGGCACTTACCCTGCCCATCCTCGGTGGTAATAAAGATTTGGCCATCCTGCGCCTCGGTCAGATCCACGGTCATATTATCATGACCATTCACATCGGCGAGACTTTGTACCGTTTGTATGGTGGCGCCGCCTTCGCCTTGATGCAGCTGCAATGTTAGTTAACGGCATAGTGAGTGATGAGCAAACAATGTTATTGACAATCATCATTAACATTTGGACATACCGTTGCCACGCCCTGAACCTGAGCTGTTGTGCCGTCGGGCAGCGTTATGATTGGATTGTTAGGATCCACCTGTATGAGAGAGACGGTGCCATCGGCGTTCTGCGACAGGACAGTTTGTGTCGTGTACTGTTAAGTAGAATGTTAAGAGCATGTTAATAATTGGCATTATGCTAACGAAGCCACTAGGAAAAGGAAAGCAAATAATACAAGCGAACAGAATAGAAAATAGAAAAACACAAGAAATTTCATCAACGAACATCAAATGCAATGCAAACAAAATTATTGAAAAATGTATGCAAATTAATTAAAGTATTTCTTATTGTGTAGCGTGTTTCGTTTTGTGTGTTTCAATGTGTTTCGAGCTGCTGTTGTGTGGTGTATTTACATGTGTGTGTGTGTGTTGATTTCTGTTGTTTTGAGCGCATGAAATGATAAACCAAAATAAAATTCAGCTGCAAATGAGAAAAAAAAAAAAAAAAAAAAAAATTGCTGTTAAGATA